AGATTAAAGTCATAATTCTGACTTTTTTCCTCATGTTAAACTGAAATAAAATTTAAAAATCAGTTGTTTTTTTTCCCAGCGGCCCTAATCCTCTTCCGTATGTCTCTGTTCCCGACTTCTGCATTATTAGTTTCTAACTTATATTGTTTCTTTCTTTGTTTGTTTGTTTGTTTCTTTCTTTGTTTGTTTGTTTGTTTCTTTTTTTCTTTGTTTGTTTGTTTCTTTCTTTCTTTCGTATCTGATATGATAACTGGCGCTGAGCTCATCTGCGTAACCTTTTTCCATTTGTTAAGTATTTGTTTTACTTGTTAAGAACATGTAGAGCTCTTTTTAAAGAGTAGTGGAATTTTTGTTGAGCATATGCTGATAATTTGTTTAGGATTTGCAGAGGTCTCTATGAGGATTTATTTACGGTAATTAATATTAAATTTGCTAAAGACTTTCTAAAGGTCTTGATTCATTCCTTTTTTTAATCTATGATATAGATTTGATGGTTTAATAATAGAAGCGCCTTCTGATTGGCTGATTTTCAGTTTGTAGATCTAAGCCAGGTCAGGTGTTTAGGTTTGCTTTCAGCAGGTTTCCTGTCTTGTTTGAACAAACCTGAAGACGACTCCAGCTTAGAGCAGCAAAGGTTGCTTCGGTGATTTTAGGTGTGAAGGAGAGCGCTGGGTGGAAACGCCAGCAGCTCCAAGGTATTTTAGGACTTACAGGAGAAAGATGTGAGCTCTGCTGTGTTTCACTTCCTGCTTTGGGGTTATTAACGCGCGGGACAATGGGGGGTGGGGGGTGGAGTGTTGGCGTTTCCTGCAGCTGTTACCCCTAGAAACTCTGGATCCTCTAAGGTTCAGGGAAGCCACTAATGACCACAATGAGCCAAAGCAACAAAATTTTCTGATTCAGTATCAATTTTATCTGACCTGAACCAAAAACGTTGCCTGCACAGAAACCACAAAGGAGCTAAGAGTTGTCTGGTTTTTAAAGTCTAGGGAGATGCAGCTGATGGCTGACGCTGGAGTTTTTTGGTGATGAGAAGTTGATGATGATGGGGCTTGGATTTGTGGAACAACTTTGGACACGTGAAAGAAAAGAAAAAAAGATGTAATGAATTCTCAAACTCTGACAGACAGAACAGACACCAACCTTTCCTTATAGACTGCTTGAAATAAACTCACACTTCTTGTCATTTTTTTAAGGTTAATGTGATATATATAACCGAGCTCATAATTATTGTAAAACTATGTGTTTTTAATCTACGTACATAGATTGTTGCACCACAAATTGTCCAGTTGTCAAGCATCCATACACTGGAAAAACGATCTAGAAATAACTAAACATTTCCTAAATTAAGTTTATTTACCCTTTATTTGAGTAGGTAATTGAGATTGTTTTCCAATGGAGTATTTTTACTTTTAAAATAAAATAACTGGATTAAATGCATTTGAAATAAGACAATGCAATTGTGCTTTACTTTAAGTGTAAATTGCCTTGTTCCATTGGCAAAATTTGTCTTTTATCTCCTCATTCCAAGAACAAATGCGCTTATTTTAAGAAAAGAATTACTTATCTAGATTTTGATTTTTTTTCCAGTGTACATTTTGTAAGTAGAGATGCAAAAGAAGTGGAGGAAACAAACAGAAGATCAACTAAAAATCACGCTAACCTTATTTATAAGAGTTATTTTTCAATCAAAATTTCGTCCATGCTTGGCAGGTTTGGTGTTGGGTTGCCGTCTTTTAGTTGTCATGCCAAAGAGGGTTGCTTCAACTTGTCATCATCGACAAAAACAGCCACGCCTGGATCAGACCTTGACCTTTATAAATGGGTTGAGGTCGGAGCTTTTTTAAGCTAAATGTTGTTCAGTGTTATCCAGAAGCTGTTAAGATGTTTGCGACTGTCCAGACGTTCGGTTTCCAGATGTTACGGTATCATTCTGACTCAGAACTCTTCTCCTTTCCCTCCAGTCATGTTTGTCTGCTGCTCTCCGGACATCTTCAGGAAGCTTATGATTCACTTCTGGCGGGCCGACCTTCCTCACTCAGAATATGTGTTTTTTTTCATCGACCTGTTCGCTGACAGCCTGAACTCCAGGGGCTATAAGCCGTGGGAGCGAGGAGACGAGGAAGACGCCATCGCCAAGGAAGCCTTCCAGGTGAGAGCTGCTTTCTACCAACCAGGGGCTAGCCCAGCTCTCCCTGG